GTTTAATTTTAATATTTAGAATTTTATAAATTTAGTATTTTAGGTTAATTTTTTTTTTTTTTTTCACCCTGTGATTGTGATCATATTAAAGGCTTTGTCAGGGTAACCTCCCCTTTACTTTTGAGCAAAATAGTTCCCCAATACAATCAGTGACATTAAAAACAAAAAAAAAAACTACGAAAAAGTTTTCCCAAAAAATTTTCCAAGGGCCCTCACTCTTCTTTTGTGAAATTACATAGTTAGTCTGGCTGAATAAAAGAACAAAAAGTACATCCAGTTCACAACAATACATTATAGTATATATACTATATAATCCTACACCCACAGCTGATCCAGAGAAGGCAAAAAAAACCCAGCAAGCACGATCCAATTCGCCTCCTGCAGGGGAAACAATGCCTTCCTGTTCCCCCAAGAGGCAATCGGATATTCCTGGATCAACTTTACTAAACTATATGAATGTTATATCCTGGTTATATTCTTATGTGTATCAAGAAAACAATCCAGGACTTTCCCTACAGCCAATCCACTGAGCTGAACCACAAACCAACTCTTGAGGGATGTCTATTTACACATTCTCACAGCTGTCTTTACTGTGAAGAATCTTTTCCGCCTCCGTGTTTTGGAGTTAAAATTTCTTTATGTCCGTCCAGCATGTAAGCGAGGCGCCCCCTTGTCCTCTGTGTTGACCTCAGTAGGATTAACTACACCGTTGTTTCTCTAAAATGAACCATACAGATGTATTATACATGACGTGATCATAAACCCCCTTAAAATTGTATTATACATGGAGAATCATTATCCCCCTCTTAATGTATTATTACATGGATAACTTATCCCCCTCCTTATGCTTTTATACATGGAGACTCATATTCCCCCTCTATTGTATTATACATGGAGATCAAATTCCCCCCTTATGTAGTATATCATACATGGAGATCATAATCCCCCCCTTATGTATTATACATTGGAGAGCATGACCACCCTTATGTATTATACATGGGAGATCATAATCCCCACCTTATGCATTTATACATGTGTGATCATATCCCCACCCCTTATGTATTTATACATGGAGAATCATATCCCCCCCTTTATGTATTATAACATGAGAGATCCATAATGCCCCCCTATATGTATTATACATGGCAGATTTTATCCTCACCTTTATGTTATTTTACCATTGGAGATTCATATTTCCTCCACCTTATTGTATTATACATAGGAGATCATACCCCCTCTTATGTATTATTAATGGAGATCATATGCCCCCCTTATGATAATAATAACAATGGAGTACATCATATGCCCCCCTTTATGTATATATCCATGGAGATCCTATGCCTCCCCTTATTGTATTATACCTGCAGATCATATCCCACCTTATGTTATAATACATTTAGTTCATAATATCCACCCTTATGTATTAATTAGCATGGTTAGAATCATATCCTCCCTTATTGTATCTATAACATTGAGATCATAGTCCCCCTTACATGTATTGTTATACTTGGAGATCATATTCCCCCCTATGAGTATTATACATACATGGTGATCATATTCCCCCTTATGTAATTATACAATGGAGATCCTCATCCCCCTTATGGTAATTATACATTGTCGAGATCTTATCCCAACCTCTTATGCTATTATACATTGGAGATCCATATCCCCGCCCTTATGTATTATCATACATGGTGATCACTATCCCACCCTGATAGTATTTAATACATGGTGATACCATAACCCCCTTATGTATTATACAGGAGATCATCATTTCTCCACCATATGGTATATGTATTAGTCCCCCCCCTTAATGTATTATACATGGAGATCATATCCCCCTCCTTATGTATTATACATGGAGATCATAATCCCCCCCCTTATGTATTTATACATGGAGATCATATCCCCCCTTATGTATTATACATGGAGATCATATCCCCCCTTATTATTATAACATGGAGATCATATCCCCCCCTTATGTATTATACATGAAGATTCATATCCCCCTTATGTATTATACATGGAGATCATATCCCCCCCTTATATATTATATATACATGGAGATCATATCCCCCCCCTTATGTATATATACATGAAGATCATATCCCCCATAAGGTATTATATATGGAGATCATATCCCCCCCCCTTGTAATGTAATGGGAGGTTAGGTGCACATCCCTTTATGTACTTTGCTGGTAAACTGTCCCAGAGGTTTCATTCACTCTTCAGGATTTAAACCCTTCTATTGCCAGTTGTGCAGGATATTACACCCATTCCCATTCAATAAAATAAAAAAAAAATAAGGATGTGCCAAGGAAATACTGTAGATACCCAACATGTCAAACCTTACAATGGCTCACATCCGTGAAATGGTGACAGATTGCGGCACCCAAAAATGTCCATAGGCGATGACTACTTTCCACCCAGGCCAATTCTGGCATTTCTCTCCTACATGTAAAAATCATAATTTATTTGCTAAAAAAAAAATGACTAAACCCCTAAGGAAACAATTGAGTACAGCTTAGACCTGAAGAATGGGACATTCCCTTTTTTTTTAAGCTTGTCCTCAAAATTGTATGATTAGTATGTTAGTGCAAATAAAAGAAGTATCACGGACAGTCCTCAATTGTTTCTGGTCGCAAATGCACTAATACGGCTACAATCACCTCAATCAGAACCCCTAAATATTTTTTATATATTTTTTTAGCAGAGACCCTAGAGAATAAAATGTTGGTGGCAGCTTCTGTGCAGCAATTTTTCAAATCGCAATTAAAAGAAAAAAACACTTTAAAACCACTTGCCTACCGGGCACTTCTACCCCCTTCCTGCCTACGGGCGCTTCTACCCCCTTCCTGCCTACAGGGCTCTTCTACCCCCTTCCTGCACTACAGGACACTTCTACCCCCTTCCTGCCTACAGGGGCACTTCTACCCCCTTCCTGCCTACAGGGCACTTCTACCCCCTTCCTGCCTACCGGGCACTTCTACCCCCTTCCTGCCTACAGGGCACTTCTACACCCTTCCTGCCTACAGGGCACTTCTACCCCCTTTCTGCCTACAGGGCACTTCTACCCCCTTCCTGCCTACCGGACACTTCTACCCCCTTCCTGCCTACAGGGCACTTCTACCCCCTTCCTGCCTACAGGGCACTTCTACACCCTTCCTGCCTACAGGGCACTTCTACCCCTTCCTGCCTACAGGGCACTTCTACCCCCTTCCTGCCTACAGGACACTTCTACCCCCTTCCTGCCTACAGGATACTTCTACCCCCTTCCTGCCTACAGGACACTTCCCCCCCTTCCTGCCCAGGCTAATTTCCAGCTTTCAGCGCTGTCGCACTTTGAATGACAATTGCGCGGTCATGCAACACTGTACCCATATGAAATTTCTATAATTTTTTTGTGACAGATAGAGCTTTATTTTGGTGGTATTTAATCACCTCGGGGTTTTTGATTTATTAAACGAACCCAAAACCACTGAAAAGTTTGAAAAAAAAAATTTGGTAAATAAGTGATTTTTCTCCTTCACTGATGTGCGCTAATGAGGCTGCAGTGATGGGCACTAATAGGTGGCACTGATGGACACTGATGAGGAGGCACTGGTAGGTGGCACTGATGGGCATTGACAGGCAGCACTGATACATGGCACTGATATATGGCACTGATAGGCGGCACTGTCTGGCACCGTTAGGCGGCACTGACTGGCACTGTTAGGTGGTACTGACCGGCACTGTTAGGCACTGACTGGCACTGATAGGCGGCACTGACTGGCACTGATAGGTGGCACTGACTGGCACTGATAGGTGGCACTGATAGGCAGCTCAGATGGGCACTGATATGTGGCATTGATGTGCACTGGTAGGCACTGATATGTGGCACTGACTGCTGGCACTGATGGACACTGTCAGGTGGCGCTGCTGGGGCCACACTGATCATCAGGGCACACTGATCATCAGTGCCCTGATGATCAGTGTACATGTCCCCTCCGCTGAAAGCCGATTACCGGCTCTCCTCTGTCAGTGTGACAGCTCGAGAGGAGAGAAATGCCGATAACCGGCATTTCCGTGTTTACATGTGATCAGCTGTGATTGGACACAGCTGATCACGTGACCGGATCGACATCTTCGGCTCTTTCCGTGATCAGTGTCCGAGGGACACCACACCGCCTATCGCCGTGCTGCGCGCTCCCTGAGCCGTGCATGCGCGGTGAGAATGGGAGGACGTCATATGACGTCCTCCCAGAACGAGAGAGCCATCTTGCACCCGGCGGGAGGTGGTTAATGAACTAAAAAACCACAAAATATAATAAAAATTTTTGGTAAAATATAAAAAGATGATGTAAGCTCCCAGGATCAGGGCCCTCCTATCCCTCTTGTATTGAACTGTATTGTTGCTGTATTGTCTCCCGTTATATTGTAAAGCGCTGAGCAAACTGTTGGCGCCATAAATCCTGTATATAAATAATAATAATATATAAATCCTGTATAATAATAATAATACTAATATATAAATCCTGTATAATAATAATAATAATATATAAATCCTGTATAATAATAATAATAATAAATCCTGTATAATAATAATAATATAAATCCTGTATAATAATAATAATAATAATAATATATAAATCCTGTATAATAATAATAATAATAATAATATAAATCCTGTATAATAATAATAATAATATATATCAATCCTGTATAATAATAATCATATAAATCCTGTATAATAATAATATAAATCCTGTATAATAATAAAATAATAATAATATATAAATCCTGTATAATAATAATGTAACAATGCGCACACTTGTGGAATGGCTCTAAACTATGGTACATGAAAATCTTCATAGGAGATGCTTTAAAAGTGTTTACAGGGTTCCAGTTTAGAGCTACAGAGGAGGTAAGGTGCTGAAATTTTTGCTCTCGCTATAACATTCGCGTTGATACCTCACATGTGTGGTTTCTAATGCCGTTTACATATGGGGGCACAACCTACATATGCGTTTGCACAGAAGTGTGTGAGCATGAGGGGACGGAGGCACTTTAAATAATTTTTTTATTATTATTTATTTTATTTTTATTATTACACACTGTTTCTTTATTATTTTTTTTTTATCATTTTATTCCTATTACAAGAAATGCAAACATCCCTTTTAATAGGAATTAGGTATGACAGGTCCTCTTTAAGGAGAGATCCGGGGTCTATAAGAACCCCGGATCTCTCCTCTATTCTGGAAAGCATGAGATCAAAAAAAAATTGATCTCAAGCTTTCAAACAAACTAAAAAATGGCAGTGTTCACATCTGCCAATGCCTAAAGCGACATCATGACGTCGCTTCTTGCCTCCCAGGTCATAGAAATGGCCATCTGGTCCACGGCCAGAATTTATTTAAAAAAATATTTATTTTTAAATATAATTTAAGATTTTTTTTTTAAATAAAAAAGTCATTTTAACACATATTTTTACATATATTTGTAAATGCGTTCCAAAAATGTAGATTTGTATTTTTAAAGACATACAGTATATTTGAAATTATTTTTAAAAATATTTTTCATATATTTTGTAATAAAAATGCATTTCAACATACAGTATATATATATATATTTATTTATTGATATTTATTTATATTTTGAAATATACTGAATACGGCCAAAATTGTAGCATTTCAAATATATGGTAATATAATTGGGAAGAATATTTTTACAATATATTTCAAATATATTTTTCTTCCACGTGGGTGACCATGACGCCCAGTGGCCTATTTAACCACCTTCCGCCCGCCATATAGTACAATGATGGGTGCAAGGTTGTTCTCTCGTTTTGATAGGACGTCATATGACGTCCTTCCATTCTCAGCGCGCATGTGAGCGGCTCAGGGAGCATGCAGCGCGGCGATCGCCGGTGCGCTGTGTCCCTCGGACACAGCAGATCATGGAAAGAGCCGAAGATGTCAGCTCGGTCATGTGATCAGCTGTGTCCAATCCAGGGGCGGACTGACCATTTGGAAACTCGGGCACTGCCCGAGGGCCCGGGGTCAGTAGGGGGCCCCATGGGATGCCCCTGGTACCTTTTTTATAGGTTTTTGAGTTTGGACAAGGACACACGGACCCCATGATCCCCTATTGCCCGGGGGCCCCATGAGTTGTCAGTCCGCCCTGGTCCAATCACAGTTGATCACATGTAAACGGTTATCGGCATTTCTCTCCTCTTGAGCTGTCACGCTGACAGAGGAGAGGAGAGCCGGTAATCGGCTTTTCGCAGAGGGGACATGTACACTGATGGTGTGGTGGATCCATCCTGCCTTGTATCAACGGTTCAGGCTGGTGGTGTCATGGTGTGGTAGATCCATCCTGCCTTGTATCAAACGGTTCAGGATGGTGGTGGTGGTGGTGTCATGGTGTGGTGGATCCATCCTGCCTTGTATCAACGGTTCAGGCTGGTGGTGGTGGTGTCATGGTGTGGTGGGTCCATCCTGCCTTGTATGAACAGTTCAGGCTGGTGGTGTCCTGGTGTGTGCGAGATTTTCTTGGCACACTTTGGGCCCCTTAGTACCAATTGAGCATCGTTTAAACATCACAGCCTACCTGAGTATTGTTGCTGACCATGTCCATCCCTTCATGACTCCAGTATCCCCATCTTCTTATGGCTCCTTCCAGCAGGATAATGTACCATGTCACAAAGCTCAGATCTCAAACATGATAATGAGGTCACTGGATTCCAATGGCCTCCACAGTCACCAAAATCTCCATCCAATAGAGCACCTTTGGGATGTGGTGGAATGAGAGAGTCGCATCATGGATGTGCAGCCGACAAATCTGCAGAAACTGTGGGATGCCATCATGTCAATATTGACATGATAGCATCACACAGTTTCTGCAGATTTGTCGGCTGCACATCCATGATGTAAATCTCCCATTCCACCACATCCCAAAGGTGTTCTACTATTGTACGGAGATCTGGTGATGGTGGAGGCCATTGGAGTGCAGTGATCTCATTGTCATATTGGAGATGATCTGAGCTTTGTGACATGGTGCATTATCCTGCTGGAAGGAGCCATCAGAAGATGGGGACACTGGAGTCATAAAGGGATGGACATGGTCAGCAACAAGACTCAGGTAGGCTGTGTGATGTTTAAACGATGCTCAGTTGGTACTAAGGAGCCCAAAGTGTGCCAAGAAAATCTCCCACACACCATGACACCACCAGCCTGAACTGTTCATACAAGGCAGGATGGATCCACCACACCATGACACCACCACCACCAGCCTGAACCGTTGATACAAGGCAGGATGGATCCACCACACCATGACACCACCATGAACACACCACCACCATGCACCACCAGCTGAACCGTTGACACAAGGCAGGATGGATCCACCACACCATGACACCACCCCTGAACCGTTGATACAAGGCAGGATGGATCCACCACACCATGACACCACCAGCTTGAACCGTTCACACAAGGCAGGATGGATCCACCACACCATGACATCACCCTGAACCGTTGATACAAGGCAGGATAGATCCACCACACCATGACACCACCACCACCAACCTGAGCCGTTCATACAAGGCAGGATAGATCCACCACACCATGACACTACCACCACCAGCCTGAACCGTTCATACAAGGCAGGATGGATCCATGCTATCATGTTGCTTACACCAAATTCTATGTGCTCAATCTTAGTACAGTCTACTTCCAGGCCAAAATCTATGAAACTTCTAGGACATGTTTGGGAAGCTGAGAACTTGGGCTGTGCAAAGTTTCAAGTCAATTGATTGAGATTTAGGCAGTTTATTACACGTTAAGCTACATTAAGCCATTTTCGCATTAAATGTTTTAGTTTGTCCCCTGAGGAACATTTCCAACACCTTGTTGAATTTATGCCATGAAAAATGAAGGCAGTTTTGAAGGCAAAAGGGGGTCCAACCCAGTTCAGCAAGGTGGACCTAATAAAGTGGCCGGTGACTGTATTTCCAAGAACTGAGCATATCGTATCATCATTTCTATCAGAAGAACCTAACTATGTACGATATGTATGATATCTTTCAGTACAATAAAGTATCAACTGTGTTATGTTATACAATTCCGGGGGGTTATTACAGATGACAGAAGGACATCCCAACCCTAGTCTACAAAGCCCTTGAGGGGAGCTCCAACATTTGTACATTTCATGCAGCATCAAACATGGAACATGATAGGTAGAAGTTATATGCAAAATGAAACATTGTGCAAAATACATAGTCAGGGAGGAGAATTTATCAGAATCTGGAGCAGCTCAATCAAATTCTAACTTTCATTTTCAAAACCTGAAAAGAACAAGCTGATTGGCTGTTATGCTCCACTTTTGATAAATTCCCTCCATTGTGGTTTCCATTTTAGGGGTCTCAAGAAGCTCTTCTGTTTAAGGGACCTTCCAAGTCCATTGGTAACTGGCTGACTTCTTCCATCGTGAACTTGGGTGAGCTTTGAGACTAATTCCCAAGCCAGTTGGGATAAATGATGGTTCCCTTTAGGACTGGTTCCCCCAAATTGCTTACCTTGTCAAGGACAGCTTGATCTTCCTTAGTTGGTGTCCTGGGTCGACCCACTCCGCCGGGTACCGAATAATGATCACCCACATGAGACTGACTCATTTTTTTGCACAGGTATTGGCAGGCTGAGCACATCAGACAGTACCCGGGCTTATATATCTGAGGGCTGCACCATTCCACGGCAGGGGTGTCTAATAATGACTACACCCTGTGGGCGACAAGCCAACTCTTATTAGACATCAAAAAGGCCAACGTACAAATCCTGTGACTGTTGCAACAAAGTCTTTGTTGTTGAAATTATTTTTTTTTTATTTTGGACCCCTCCCAATCAGGGGAATGGTACGAGCAGCCTGCAGGTCTGTAGAGGAACATTTAAGGGTGGCAACCAGGTTTGCGCACTTGAAAGGCTGCATACGGTCTGACAGGACACAGGAATAGTTCATAAACATGATGTATATGTTATGTAGCCGAGGGCTGACATTCCACGTCTACAGGCGTGTCTGTATATATTGACATATTTGCACACAAACGTGAATATGGCCCAACAATTCGCTGCACATTAAAAAAATAAAGTAAAAAAACTAATGAAGCGCTCTTCCTGTCGTATAAAATAT